GCTGCTCCTTGGAAACCCTATACAAGGTCGCTATGGGTCGGAATTGAATTGATGGCACTTAACAACAACAACAACAAGTTAATTAAGTAGAGACTTCAGTGATCACATACAACAAAGATTACAGACCTTACAGAATTCATTCAGAGAGGTCACTAAAACAATAACAGCTAGAACAAGCACTGGGGAGGAACTGGTTTTCAGATTTGCCGCATTAAATTATTTAAAGCATCAAGTTTTCTACAACAACAGCAACACATTTTAAGATGTGTTAGAAGGTCCTGGATAGAGTGAGAGAAAATGTGGAACAAAACTCAAAGTCATAAAAAACAAAAACAACAACAACAACAACAACAGACTTACTAATTTAACCCTGAGACTACAGCCCTTGTTAATCCTTCAGGTTTGGAACTGAACTCACCCTCATGGCTCAATTTTCAGTCAAGCAATGGATGGGTTCATAGGAGGAACAATATTACTGAGGTACACACACCATAGAACAATCAACTACTTGAGATCAAAAGGGCAACACTTACCCAAGGACAAAGCTCAGAAGGGTTGGAAACAAAGGGGGAATAGAAACAAGAACACAGGAAGTGGAGTCAAATAAGTGATGTTACTTTAAAGGGACTGCAGTCAGTGAGATGAAATCAAGTGTATATGATTTGTTGATGTAAAATTAATGATCTACTCTGTAAACCTTTATCTAATTCACAATAAAAAGTTTTTTGTTTTTTTTTAAAGCTATGAGATACGCAAAGGAACAAGAAAGTGTGGCACATACACAGGACACAAAAATCAGTAGAAACTTGAAGCACAGAATGGCAAAAAACAACTTCAACAACACCTTTTAATTGTGAATTGAGTGAAAGTTTATAGAGCAGATGATCAGTTTTACATGCAACAAATCATACACTTCATTTCATGTCTTTCTTTTTTTTTTTTAAAGCTTTTATTGTGAATTGAGTGAAAGTTTACAGGGCAGATGATCAGTTTTGCAGTCAATAAATCATATTTAGTTTCATTGCAATGATTACAGTCCCCTCTATGTACCATCAGTCAATAGTATTTGCCTCTATTCTCCCCCTTTATTTGATGTACACATACAAAACAGAAAATACACATTCATTTACATGTCTAAAGGGCACACTTTGCAAGCCAGTCTCCTGTCCAATGGCACACAGTCCATGGCCCTAGAGTCCTTAGCTGCTCTCTGTCTCTCTATGCCATCACCACTGCCACTATCTCTGCTATTGCTGCTTTTCTGGTTAAGATTCCATGCTCCACTTATGTTCTTCCCTCTTGCTGGTCCTAGGGTCCTCTTTTCCTGAAATGTAAGATTAACCTCCCCTTTTAGTTACACATCTACAGTTGTGACAATCACAATTAATCCTGATAACAATTACACACAATTGAATCATAAAGTCCTATCCCCATTCTCCCCCATTCCCTTTCACCAGACCCATCTGGAAAAGAAGAAAACTATTCCGTGGGGATTCTACCTTACCTCCCTTGTCTGAAACTAAACACACTCATGAACGCTTGTAGGCCTGTCATTTCGTACCTTTTTAGCTCCCCATTTTTGTTAACCAGTGTCTAAGTTGCCTATCCCTATCAATCCAATGTACTGAGGAAGCAATCTTGATCCTTGAGATGAGGAGTTCTTCCCTTTCGGCTGGAATTTTGAGCAACTACATTCATCAGCAAATGTCCAGTTCATCAAATTACAGCAATTTTCACTTGCTCCCTGTATCAAACTTCTTTATATTCATCTGATGGGGTTCTGGTCAGTAGTCATCCAAGCTATGTCAAATGGGTACTCTCTGCAAGTTTGGGAGTTCTTGCACGCCTCTCCCCACTTCAAACCAGCTGACTGCTTCATTCTCAGCTCTCGCCTCCAGTGACTAAGTCAGTAGGCTTGGGAGTTCACACACCACCATAAACTTCAGACCAGCAAGTCCTTCCTCTTCTCTCTCTTAAGGTCAATGGGTCTATGGAACATGGCCAAATTCAGCCCATGTCTTCATTGCTGTATTTCCCCCACTTCCACTCACACCAGCAGTCACCAGCAAGCTTATAAGACTACTTGTGTGTTCCCTTTGAGTTTCAGTCTTAGAAGGGAATTACACTGACGGACTGACTTTTCTTGTCTTGATGGCTCCAAGGTAAATAGCTTCCATGCTATTCTAACAGCCAAAAAACAGTTTGCTTTTTTTATGCTGGTCTTTTTTCAAGAAATATCTTCCATTCCTCTAGCTGTTCTGGATTGGTCTGCAAGTGGGAATGTCCCACCTCAGATGGTTCTGGCTGGGGCTCAGGATTCCACCTAAGGCTCAATACTCCACAAAGAAGGCTACTTCCCTGAGCAAGTTCCAATTACCCTTTTAGCTAATCCAATCAGTTATAGGCTGAAGATGGGTTTACAAGCTTTCTGTAATCTTATTTCCCAATATTCCTTTCTATCCCACTTAAATGTCTATTTTATAACAGAAGGCAGGGGAAACCACTACCCACAAGACAATCAAGCCCCTTAATATTATTTCCCCTCCATTACCCATTCAGACTATGCCTCGATCCTTGTATCATAGAACCCTGTTGTTCAAAGATTGTGTATACATGACTACCTCTATCCCATTTAGGCCATGCATGCCTCCCTAAGTCTTCCCTTATCTTTTTTGTTCATCTACCCCTCCCCCTTCTTGTGCATTGCCTTCCCCTTCATGTATTTTTGCCCTCCACATCACCTGAGCTACCCCTTATCTCGTGAATTACTGACCCCTCCCTCACACTCCTGGTCCAACCACCAAAGAATTTTTCTTTTAGATTGGAAAACTTTTCTTAAGCTTTTACAATAATGGTCTTATGCAATATTTGTCCTTTTATGACTGACTAATCTCACTCAGCACAATGTCTTCAAGGTTCACCCATGTTATGATATGTTTTGCAGCTTCATCATTATTCTTCAGGGTAGCATAATATTCCATTGTGTGTATGTAACAAACTTTGTTTATCCATTCTTCCATTGATCGGCACTTAGATGGTCTTCATCTTACTGCTATTGTGAATAGTACTGCAATGAACATTGGTATGCATATATATACTCATGTTCTGGCTCATATATCTTGTGGATATATACCAACTAGAGGAATTTCTGGATCATAAGGTATTTCTATTTCCAACTTTCTGAGGAAGCGCCATATTGTTTTCCAGAGTGGTTGGACCATTCAAATTGCAGGCCTCTCAATGTAACCCCACCCTTCCAAACTTTGCCATTCAGTAAATGCTATCCTTTTGATCTCAACTCGTTGACCATTCTATGGTTGACCCCATCCTTCCGAACTTTGTCATTCAGTAAATGCTGCCCTTTTGATCTCAAATGGTTGACCATTCTATGGGGCAAAAGAAATCTTGAAAAAAAAAAAAGAAGAAGAAGAACATTGGAGGACTCACATTTCTCAATTTCAAAATGTTTTACAAAGCTACAATAACCAAGACAGTGTAATACTGGCATAGGGAGAGAGATATATAGATTAATGCACCACAACTCAGAGTCCAGAAATAAATTCCACCAACTGTGCTGAGACCAATCAGTGGGAGAAAGGATAAGCTTTTCAACAAATAAATGGCAGACAAACAACTGTACATCTACATGTAAAAGTATGACGTTAGACTAGCTATAAAACTAACTCAAACTGGGTTAGATGTCTAAAGGTAAGAGCGAAAAGTATAAAACCTTTGAAAGAAAACATAGGTGTAAATCTTTGTGATCTTGTGACATCAAGAGCACAATTTTATCAAAATAAAAGCCTCAAAGAGTTATCAAGAAAATGAAGTAAGCCACAGAATGGGAAAAAATGTTGGCAAATCCTATATCTGATAAGGGACTATGTTTCCACAATATCCAAAGTATAAAGAAGTCTTACAACTTAACAATAATAATAATTTTTAAAAGGTCAACGATTTTGAAAATATGTTTCTCCAAAGAAGATCGACAAATGACCAATACACTCAAGAAGAGACGCTCAACATCATTAGCCACTGGGGAAATGGAAGTCACATTCACAATGAGATGACACTTGGCACCTGGCTCAAATGACTAGAATGCAAAAAACCTCCCAAATAACAAACGCTAATGAGAATGCAAAGAATTTACAACCCTCAGAAGATGGTATATTCAATGTGGAAAACGGTTTCGTGGTTCCTCAAAAAGTTAAACATAGAATTATCACACGGCCCAAAAATTTTGCTCTTACATATATACCCAAGAGAACTGAAAAACATGTCCACCAATGTTCATAGCAACAATATTCATCATTGCGAAAAGGTAGAAACAACCCAGATTCAGTCAACTAATGAATGGATAAAGAAAATAGGAACGACGTAGCCATAAAAAGGATTCATGCTGAATTATGGGTGAATCTTTGAAAGCTTTCTGTTAAGTGCAAAGCCATACATAATCCACTTACATGAAGTATCTAGAATGGGTAGATCCATAGGGTTGGAAAGTAGATCGGGGCTGGGTGGGCTGGAGAGGAATAGAGAAGACTGCTGACAGATACAGAGTTTCTTTCTGGGTTAATGAAAAGGTTCTGGAATTAGTGAAATGGTTACATAACCTTGTGAATGAACTGTATACTTTAATATGCTGGCATTTGTGTTATGTGAATCATGTTTCAACTTTTAAAAAGGAGAAAAGATATGCAGACAGCTCAAAGTGGTCAACTTCTATCACCTAATTACACTCTAGACACACACTAGTACAGTCACACACACTTGTGCCCGGTCCCATACAGACAGTAACACTGCCACATACACACACACAAGTGACACAAAGATGAACGCACACAGATATACATACACAAAGATGCACATATACACTCTCCACAGATACCTACACAGACACACACACACTCTTTCACACACAGACACATCCACAGACACTCTCTCTGGTCTAATCCTGGCTCCCGACCTGAGTACCTCCCCACCCCTTTCCTTAGACAGACCGTGAAGGTGGTGAAGACCCAGTCTTTGGGAAGGCCCTTGGTTTTCCTGAACTTGTCATTGATGTAACGATTGAGGTGGTCCATGCTCCACACCGTGTCCTCCTTGAGCAGTACGTAGAGGGGACTCTTCTTCTGCATAAACTGGGTGGGGGTGAGGACAGGGCCTGGAGATCACCCAGAACATCCAGAGGTCTTACCCTATGGAGAGCTCCAATGGAGACCCTGTAAGGCCCCTTTTCCATTTCCAACCCTTTACCACTGAGAGCCCCCTAAAGATATTCACCTTGGCCCTGCTACCTGAGACCACTAGAGATCCTGCTCCCCCAGACACCATCCTATAACTGAAACGCTCCATCTATGAAGATCACCACTGAGACCAGTTTTGCTTTGGAAATTCTCACCTGCTGAGGCCTCCCTCCTGGATGTGCCCACCTTGACTCCTCCCTACCAAGACCCTCTTCAGAGACCCTTGCCTGGGAGCCTTCCTTACTGAGGCCTCACAAGGAGACTGCACCACCCTTGTATCCTCAAGACCCCCATCTCTTTGAGTGCTTTGGCCTCCATGACTTAATACTATGAAAACCATAGCTCTCCCCTCTCTAAGAGACCTCATGTTGTCTATGGAAGCCCACTCATGTCCCATATTCAGTGCACACTTGCATGTGGGGAGGGGCAGGGCTCCAAGCCACTTTATCCGGACAGTGGGACCTGGGCTGTAGGTGACAGGCTGTGCTGAAGCGGGCTGCTTAGGGACCTGGTCTCCCCATGGTCTGGGTCACTTCTGGACCTGGTGGTCCAGTATAGGCTGGACCCTTCTGTTTTCTCAAACAGTGAACTGCATCCTCTGGTCTTATACAGGGTTGCCCTGCCTTGTTTGCAGTCACCTGTGGGGGCCCTCACCTGGTTGGTCAAATGGCCACTGAGGTCACTGGAGTTGGGGTCATAGAGCCCGAGGGTGAGGCGGGCGTAACCATGGCCGAAGAAGACCATGTAGGGCGTGGCGCAGGCAATAAGCAGGTACGAACGCACATCGAATTTCTTCCCATCCAGCAGCAGCGGGTTCTGGATATACCTGGGTTGGTACATGGGACTGCTTAGCATCCTGGTCTGTGACCAAGCATCACGGGGTCCTCACCACCTGGGTGTTCATCCATCGTCTTAGTGTGACCCAGCCTGTCCCAAATGTGACCCTTGGGCTCCCTCCTCTGGCTGAAAGTACGGGAAAGGAGACATTTTGAGTCTGTCCAGGCCCCTAGATCCCAGCCCACTGCATGTATCTGGGGGCACCCCAGGGAACAGCTTTTTATAGGAGCCTGGAAGATGGAAGCAAACTGGGCCCCGGTGAGCAGGAGAGCTGTATGGTGGTAGAAGGGGGTTTGTTTGGAGGAGGAGGAGTCTGTCTGGTGGAGGAAGGCTGCATTGAGGAGGAGGGAGTTTCCTGGAGGCGTGTCTTAAAAGGTGGGGTGGGTAGCTTTGGAGAGGGAGGGAGGGGAAATCCAGGTGCAAAATCAGTCTTAGAAGAAGGAACAAGCTACTGGGAAGGGACTGCTGCGGGTGATGGTGGCAAAAAAAAAAAGGTGTGACAGTGAGCGTCCACAGTGGCGGTGGGTGGAATCCAATGGCACCCTTGCTGGGACCAGACTGCCCCTCAGTGTGAGAATAAGGCTCTGGATCTTCCATAGAGTCAGAAGGAGCCATGTGGGGTTCTTGAGCAAGAGAGGAGTAATCAACTGTGAGCTGTGAGCCTGAAGGCTACAGTTGCTGGGGGTGGGATGGCGGGCAGGACAGAGGGGAAGGACTGGGCTGAGGGAGAAACTGGCACACCACTTCTACTCCACACCCTGCCCCGGAGCTTCTGTCCCAAGGCCATGTACACCACGGTGGTTCCTTGGGGGTGTTCATGCCTGTGTCCCTGACCAGATGTGACAACCCCACCTCTGCTGGCTACAAGGCCCCAACTTTGGCCCCCACGGTCAGCCCTCCAAACGACGCCCCTCAGGGCACCCTCTCCCAACACCTCTGCACAATCCGCGCCTGAGGCGCCCTGAATGGCATCTTGCGGTAGACGGGGTCGTCCTCAATGCTCTGCGTCTTGGCTTGGAGGGCAGCGACGTCATCACGGTTCCTGAGCAGGAAGATGCCCTTGCCCTGGTTGGAGGCGGTAGGCTTGCAAATCCAGGTCTTCGTCTCTGCAGAGAAAGGAGCACTGAGCCCTAGACTAACCGCGGCCCCGCCCTAGCCCCGCCCCTGTCGCTCTGACCTCGCCCCGCCTTAACCCAGCCAGTGTCGAATTCCACCGGCACCTCTGCCTTCATGGCCCTGTCCTCCCTCATGGCCTGCTTATCCAGCCTCGACCCTGTCTTTGCAGAGGGGCTCTCAACAACCGCCTATCGTCCAGTGGTCTTACCATCAAACAGGGCGAAGAAGGCCTCTCGCTCTTCTCTGATGTCCAGGCGGTAGGTCTCTGGGAAAAACTCTTCCATTCTCAGGATCCTGAGGAGCAGGAAAGTGAGGACGACACAGGACTGTCCCCCACTAGGGCGGGGGTGGGGACTTGACTCCTGTAGCCTGTTGTCCCACTGCCCTCGGATCCATTGCTCCTGTAGGACACTCTAGTTGCCCTGCTAGGGGCACCTTCCGGCTACCTGGCCCCACTCTTGGCTGTTCTCCCAGCCTGCACCGGCTCAAGCATTTACAAGTGGTCAGCTCAGAGCTGTGTGTCCCCAGGGCCCAGCACATGACAGCTTGTCACTCTAAATCTGATGGTGGTACTAGGGTTTGATCTGGGCTGCCTTTTGTCTCTTTTCATCTAATACCAGGTCACTTCTTCCATCTAGACCAGACACTGCTGCTGCCAGCATGCCTAAGTACTTCTTTCTAGCTTAGTGGTTGGAGGTATCCTGGGCTGGTCCACAGGATCTTCTATTGAGTTTGCATTCCTTTTCCCGGGGACACTGGACCTGACCTGAGTGGGCAGCTCCGTTATGTTTGGGGGATGAATGGGTCGGAGTCTGGAGAGAGAGAGGATTGCTGTGGGCATAGAGGTAAAATAGGGATGCGTGTGGATGGGTTGGTGAGGCTGAAGACGAGTGGGTGGGCAGGCAGATAGATGGATTTTGGATGGAAGTGGGTGGTTAAATGGGTCTTAGATGGAAGGATGGGTGGTTGCATAGATTTTGGATGAATGGGTGGATGGATAGATGGGCAGTAGGCCAAGTGAGAAGATAGATGCACAGAGAAAACTAAACCAGAGTTGCTGGCAGTAGGCAGTGTGCAGGTGAATGAGTGGGCAGGTGGATGAAAGAGCAACCATGTGAAGAACAGAGGTGGAAGATGGACACGTGGTCTACCTGCTTTGGTGGATGGTGGGTGGTAGTGGTGAATGGCTTGTTGGGTGGGTGGGTAGACACATGAATATGGGTGGGCAAGTTAATAGGCAAGGGACTAGGTATATGAATACTTGGAGGGATCAAGGTGGGTACACAGTGATGGCGAAGGGAAGACGGGGTAGGTAGTTGAGCCATGGGATGACTGAAGGGAAGAACACTGCAGGTCGCTCTGTGGTAGGCTGCGGTGTGGTCCTGCCCCTGCAGGAGGCAGGGGGCTGGGAAGGGATGGAGACAGGATGGACTGGTGGGTAGGAGGTACAAGGGTGGATCTGTGGGCAGAATGGGGGAAGTGGGTGGACTTGGTTAGCAATGAGGAAGGTGATGGGTATGCAGGAGGAGGGCAGACAAGAGCAGTTCTGGACTGACGTGGGACTGATAGAGGTAGTGGACGAGCAGATGGGTTTGGGATAAGTTATGGGATGGTTGGGCTGTGCGTTCCCATATGAAGGATGATGGCGGAGTGATGTGGCAGGGAGCATGGCTTACTTGGCTTGAGAGGACTGAGAAGTCTTATTGATCTTGTTCACGACCCTCGAGTACTCCCTCAGGGCACTGAGCAGCCCGATCTTGGTGGTGAGGAGCTTGTTGTTGGGGAGCTGGTAGAGGAGCTGTTCACCTGGCATGACAGAGCCCTGGGCGGCATGAGGTGGCTGTCCTGGAACTGTGCCACCCTGCCATCTTGACCACCCCACCACCTCAGGAACCACAGCCACCACAGCCACCATGGATGGCCTCCTTGAATGGTGGCCTGACTCCACTCACTCCTGCTTCCCAGGAAGCCCCTGCAGGCTCCCAGCTGGGTCATGGTCGGGGTTCCCCCATTGACTACCTTCCCGGAAGTTGCAGTAGGTATCCCGGCACTTGACCTCACACCATTTGAGCTTGTAGTCCTCCCGCCGACTGTCTTGAATGCGCTGCCAGCCTTTGCTCTTGCAGTAGGCGCTGATTCTGCAGGGGAGGGGCAACCGTGACCTGGGCCTGGGGCCCCTGGAGGAATGGCAGTGGGGACCTTGTGGGAGGGACCATGGGAGGACCCAGTGGCAGTGGGGACCCAAGGGGAGGACTCTGGAGATCCTGGGGGAGAGGTTGTGGGGACCCCAGGAGCAGTGAGGGCTCTGGGGTAGGGGCTTGGGGGCTCTAGGGAAGGGACAGATGTGACTTGGGCCTGGGGATCTTGGGGGAGGACTGTGGTGATCTCAGAAGAGGGTCTAGGACTGTAGGCAGCATCCAGAGTCGAGACTAGGCCTTGGGGCATGGGGCTGGGAGCAGTGAGAGCAGGCTGCCCTTACATGGAGGCCCCATTGGTGCCCCCGATGTAGAAGAAGGGGCCCTGCCCAGTGCTGGGGGGCTGCTTCTCCCCCTCCAGCTGCTTCTCCTCTAGGGGGTTGGCCAGGGACCTGGTGGTGTCAGTGTCCTCCAGGAGCTCTGTGAACAGTGGGTGATTAGAGGGCAGGTCCTACCCAGTGGAGATTCTCTGCTGCGCCCCCCACTCTGTGCTCTGAGACCCCACCCACCTGCATTGTGGTCCAGCTGGCCCAGCTGATGCAGGCGCCCCTCTTCTTGGCCAGTGCCCATTGATCTCTCATGGGCCCAGCCTGGGGAAGGGGTAGAATCAGGTACTGGGCAGGGGTGACCATTCACCCTACAACCCAGGCCCTGACCATTACTAGCACCTCCTGGGTGTTCCCCAGCCCGTCTTGGCCTCAACCTCAGGCCAGGCTTGGACTTGACCATGATGGGCTAAGGTCCTGTCCCAACTCCCAGGACAGAAGGGTCAGTCACCCCTATTCATGGGGAGAATGCAGGGTTACTAGAGGTGCTCTGCTTTGAAGACAGAGAGAGCCCAGGCTGAATGGCACCCTACAAGGGCCTCCCTCCCTCCCTGTCAGCATGGGCCTTGGGGCCGGGGTAGGCAGGGCACCCTCACCCTCTTTACCAGCAGGGCACAGCTGAGGTGTGGGAAGGGGACTAAGGGGTAAGACCAGGGCTGAGCCAGACCATCCCCAGGGGGAGCAGGAGTCACAATAGCCATGATGATGTCACATGTGACCCACAGGTCATTCATTGTCCAGCAGAGGGAGAGATTCTAGCCTGCCCCAGGTCTGCATAGACAAAAGGTCACAGGGCCGTGGGGGCTTTGGGACACAGCTAGAGGGGGCAGTGGGAGTGCACCCCCCATCCTGCTAACTGACCCAGCCCTGCGTTTCCTCCAGTGGCTTTTCTCATGTGTGTGTGTGTGTGTGTGTGTGTGTGTGTGTGTGTGTGCGAGGGAGGAGCCATGAGTGGCTACCAACCCAGTGTGACAGAGTGTAACTGCAGTCCCACCTGGTGCCAGGGGCCTTCCTTGACGGTGGTGGATGCCCGCCCAGTCTGGCTTGTGTTCACCTGGCGCTTGGGGGCGGCCTCGCCGAACTACTGCCACCTTCAATCGCTTGCTTCTCTTGGTGGCAACCTGGTCTCGTGTGGGGGGTCCGCGACGATGGGTAAATTGGGTGCGGCCGCGGGCTGCAGGCATGGAAGCACTTGGGTGGGGGCTCCTGTGAGTAGTCGTGGTTCCTGCCTTCCTGCGGTGCCTCAGGGCTGCCTGGGGTCTTGGCCCTTGGCCCTGGACCGCTGTGCCAGGGGGTGGGCACTGCTCTGGGTCCAGGGCAGGATCCTTTGCTTGTGACTGGCTCCGATCTCCATGTGACCTGTGGGGCCTGGTACGTCGAGGGGGCAGGGCAGTGTCCACATCTTGTTGGCCCTGGGTGTGGCCTGCCTTAGCAGGACTGTCCTTCGGATGTCGTTCCGCACCTCCTCGGCGCCGGCTGTAGGGACAGGGGAGTTGGGGGCATGTCAAGCCAGTGGGCTGGGCTCAGAAGACGGTGGGCCAGGATCCCACCCTACCTGCCATCACACAGCAGCATCTCCATCCTGACCCGAGGTCCCAGTCCCTGAGGTCACCCTTCCTGTGCTGCCAACTTTGGAATATTTGGGGGGTATTTTTAGTCAATTTCTCTACAGCTACTTTGACCTTAACACCAGCAAACAAACCTGCTGTTTTGACTGCTGAGTGGGGGTTTGTCAGCTGCCCTGTAGTAGAGGCCTGTGCCAGGCAGGGGATGGTGAGCAGTGCCACCGTCCCCCAGTCCTGGCACATTGGACAAATAGACAACATGGAAACACAAAGGCCCGGGAAGGGAGGAGGAGAGACCAGGACTGTGGCCTGTGCTTAAAAGCCACAGAGTAGAAAAACTGTCTCTAGAACTGACCGGAGCCGACGTGGTCGGGTAGAAGTGTAGACTTTCTGAACGTTCAGGGGCGTGTAACCAATAGGAAGGGAGGTGAGCTGGGACCCGTGGCTCCGTGGAGTTGCAGAGATTAAAGACTTGCTCCTGAGAACAGAGAAAACATCCTAACTGGGTACAGTACTAGTGGGGATATGGACAGACAAAGGGGAAGCATATCAGGCCCCCACAGCAAAACCCTTGGCGTGTGAACGTCCTCTGGCTGCTCATGCTTCAGTCAGAACACTGAAAGTGGCAAGAGCCAGCACACACGATCAGACAGTTAATAGTAGAAACTATACCAATGCAAACCTTTAAAGGGGTTCTGTATTCACTAACTACCAGAACATTCATACAGAAGTGAAATAGTAAATGCAATCTGTAAAGCATGGTCATGACTTTATATCCGCAGCTTCTAAATCTGAGAATTTCATTCTGGAGAGAAACCTTCTGCGTATGTTTGGTATATTTTTATCAAGCATTCACACATTTGAAGTCTAGAGAGCATTAATACTGGACAGAAGCTTTGTAAATATAAACATTGTGGTAAATTTGAAGTCTAGAGAGCATTAATACTGGACAGAAGCTTTGTAAATATAAACATTGTGGTAAATTTGAAGTCTAGAGAGCATTAATACTGGACAGAAGCTTTGTAAATATAAACATTGTGGTAAATTGTTTCTAGTCTCACAATTTGTTACATATCAGAATTCTAGGGAGAAAAAAGTCTGTAAAGATTAAAGCATCAGTCTCAGATGTTATATTCTACAGTGTGAAGTTCAGCATATCTTTAAACTTTGAAGTGTTAAGTGTCAAAGGAATGATTTATGGGAAGATTTATTTGTTGTCATTTAATAAAAATATTTTTGTTCATTTAAAAAAGATGGCACATGCACACAGACATACAGACACACACATAACACAGTGACACATACACAGAGACACATAGACACACTCAGAAAGGAAGAGCTGAAACAACCACCCACAAACACATTTAGCATGTGCTTGGGAGAAAGGAGGCGATGTTGCCCTTCTAGAAGCGAATGAGGGCATTTATTAAAGCAATGGAATAAGAAAGTTTATGGAGATTAAATTTCAGGGTTGGAAATTCAACTGAGAAACAAAAACCCCTTCCAGGATACCAGTTGAAAAGATGGGAGTTCCTGAGACTGGCTGACCAGATTGTTGTTGTTAACGAGTGGGTTCTGACTCACAGCGACTTGTATAGGGTTTCCAAGGAGCAGTTGGTGGGTTTGAACCACCAAGCTTGTGGTTAGCAGTTCAATGCTTATTATACAGTGCCACCTGGATGGCCAGATGGAGGGAGGAAATCACCCATGGAAGGCCTTGGAGACACACCATGAGGGGGCGGGCTGACAGCCTAGGGTGAAGCAGCACATTCCACCCTTCCTGTGGGGATAGCAGAAGCCTGAGTTACAGAGGTGTGGAATCAGGGGTGGCTAAGGGTACCCCTGGAGTCCTGGTGTGGCGCTGTTGGATAAAGTACTGGACTGCAAGGTCGGTTTGAATCATAAGGCCGGTGGTTCAAACTTGCCAGCCGCTCCTTGGAAGCAGGAGCTATGAGTCGGAACCAACTTGACAGCACTTAACAACAAGGATGCCCGCAGGGCTCCGAGGGTCAGACACACTTAGCTCACATGGAAAGGCTCCTGGAGGGGCCCGCTCCCACGTCAGCTGTGATCCTGGGGTCACTTGCCTACTTTCGGTTCCCTCACTGGCATGTGGGGGTGAGGACAGTGGTGGCAGCCTGCTAGAGTTGTTGAGAAGATGAAGTCTAGACACATACAAAGGAGCTCTGGTAGCGTAGTGGTTATGAATCGGGCTGTGAACCTCAGGGTCAACAGTTCGAAACTACCAGCTGCTCCATGGGAGAAAGATGAGGCTTTCTGCTCCCATAAAGATTCACAGCCTCGGAAACCCTGCACAGAGTCACTCTGAGTCGGAACCAACTCCACGGCACGTAACAACAACAACAACAATAGACACCTAATGGCTTAGGACAGTGCCTGGTGTCTACTGAGCGCTCAGTGAGTGCTAGTGAGGGAGGGGGTTATTGTTAGTGCCATTGAGTCAGTACCAACTCATAGGGAGCCAACATAGGGCTTCCTAGGAGCAACTGGTGAGTTTGAACTGCTGACCCTGCCGTTCAAATGCAACACCACACAAGGATGAGGAAGAATTGTTACTGAATTTGGGGATAGTCAGGGTAAGTATGTAGAAAAACAATGCAGAAACAGGGTGATTAACCAATCCCAGAGGAAAAAAAAAAAGGTCCCCTGTCATTAGGGTCAGAGGTGTGCTGGGCTGTGAGCATTATTTACCTGATTATAATATAAACCTGGCCATGTGCAAGAGAGCAAACCCCTCATCCGGCATGGTCCAAAGTCAAGGGAGAATTCTGACAGTGGAAATTCAAGAAATAGGAACATAATGGTGCTAATTAGAAACAGGATAGTAGGCTGAGTTCCGGCGCTTCCGTGACCAGGCAGCTCAGGTAGGGCAGTCTCGGGGAAAAGGGGCGGAATCGCACATAAGAAACCTCTGTCTAGCAGACAGACAGCCTTTGAACAAACATAAGATCTTATATTCCAACATTCTGAACTCGTTTTTTTAAAAGATCAAATTGCTAAGGAATTACAGGCATTTTGAGCTTTTGCCTGCCTGCACGCGGCGAGTGCCTCTGCCCCCTGAAGACCTTGGAATGCAGGGCTAGAGCAACCCCACTGAGAAGGCTGCATTTCCAGAGAAAAGGAAGCATAAACTAACAAAGCCGAACAAATAGAGAGGGATATTGGCGCGGATATCAGGAAATTCGGGGTACCCACGGTACAGAGAGACTGAGAGAGGCATTTTTTTATGTCATCAAATACGGACACTACCTCCCTGCAGCCATTACCCCCAGCCCTCTACCGCCCCGGCCCAGACCAGTCCTCTGCCAAGCCTTCGAGGCTCAGGAATGCCCAAGGCACAGGCCTACTCACTGAGGCCAAGGCCTGCCCTGAGTCCCAACCCACCCACAGACTGGTCACAAAGGCCCAGGACCAACCAAGGCCCAAATCACCTAGCCACCTCGCGGCCCAGGTGGTCCACAGCACGGTCGCCGTCAAGGTCCAGGGCCCCCAAGGCCCAACCCGCTGCGTAGCCAGGTCGTTGAGGCCCAGGGCCCCGGAGGCCCAACCTGCTGCGTAGCCAGGTCGTTGAGGCCCAGTGCCCCTGAGACCCAACCTGTCCTCAGCCTGGGCCCCGAGGCACAGACCCCCCAAGGCCCAATCCGCCCAAACTGCCCACTGAGGCCCAAGCCGCCCAATGCCCAGCTGCTGATACCCAGGCCCCCTGAGGCCCAAACCACCCACCTGAGGCCCAACTGTCCTGCAGCCCGGTCACTCACTCCCAGGCCCCCAGAGGCCCAAACCACCCGCCCTAGGCTCAAACCACCCGCCTGAGGCCCAAACGGCCTGCTGCTGAGGCCCAGGCCCAACTGAGGCCCAAAAAAGTTACTCTGAGTTAAGCAATAAGGAGAGTGAAAAGGGAAGACCACATCCTGATCACATCTTCCTGGAGGTAATCAGAAAACATAAAAAATTACCAAA